TTTCGAAAAATTAATTTTTTGAAATTTTCTCAAAGTTTCGAATGTGTAGAATATGTTGCCAGAGCGATATTTCAAAATTCGATTTCTTGGCCAAGTTATGGCAATGTATGTATACGGGAACGGATTGTATCATGCGGGAGGCCTCGCAGACCAGATGAAACGGAGATGTTGCATTAGAGCAGTATTCTGTTGCTTACGAATATGTAATTTAAGGTTTTCTTATCACATGTGATACGATAAAAAAAGGAAAAACTAACAGATAAGTTGATAAATTCATTGACCATATATTACGGCCGTTTTGCGGAAAGAAAACTGTTGACATTGCAACATTTACAGCTGCTGGAATCTTTAACGGGGGAAATAATATTTTTAAAATGATGCAAACGATGTATTCAATTTCAGGAATAAACAGTTACAACTTTTGTAAAGTAATGGACGAGCAACGAATAAGAAACTGTGAAGAAAAGGCGGAAGAGAAGAGTAAAAGAGCACGAAAATTACTTAAAAAAGCACAGAAGGAGACTGCCGACAGTTTTTTTGATGCAAAAGGATTGCTATATGGACTTGAAATAGCAGATCAAAGATAAAATATGAAAAACCTCTCTTTATCAGAAAAGAATTTTATCTTAAAACATCTTTTACGTTTTCCTCGAAACTATGTTTTTCGAACTGGCCGACACAAAATCTCCGGAAGTACACATCCGATTTCGTTCAAATTTTGAGGGGATATTCTCTATAAAGTATTCTACAATTTAGCGTAGGATTTTTTCGATATCTCAATTATTTAATTCTTTAGAACTGTTTAAAGTTGATACTTTTTTAGTAAAGAGATATTTCTCCTCTTCAAAGTGTCGCCATTTCTATAATTGTTAAAATTTTTTAAAATTCCTACGCTATCTTGTAAGTGATACATTCTTATTTATAAATCAACAAGAATTTTTTAATTTGGGCATTCCAGTCCTTGGCGGCGATGGCGGCCGACTATCAATGTTCCAAAATACGCGGCTTCAGAGTTCGCTAATAACTCCGCCATTTTGAAGCATTTTTGATTGGAAAAAATTGGAAAATAAAGGCGGAAGTTGCATATTTGTCCACTAAAACAATTGAAACTTTCCACTTAGTAATTACCTATAAAAAAAATTCCCGAAGTAAGCGATTTTTTGTCAACACTTCGTTGAATAATGCACATTTAAATTAAGGAAATCGTTAATAACTGTATTATCGATATTTATCGCGACATTAGTATCGCTTATTAGTACAAACATAAATCCTAGAGATAGCGAAATGCACGCGCACTCCACGAATATTTGAATTCAATTTTCTCGATAACTAAACCTCTCAGGAAAAATCTTATTCTACATTTTCGGTTCACTTTTTCATGTAAATTATCTTCGCTAGTTACATAGCACCCTGTATATGGACTACAAGTGTGGCGCCCAATTTTTGCACGAATTTGTCTACGTAGATTTAAACGAATCTCTGATCTGAAGAGACGTGGGCCAGTTTATCTTTAAATATGCATTTTAAGTTTCTGAGGTAAACCTTTGCATCTATTATAATTATTACCTTCACCGTGCATACATAAACAAAAGGTAAGTATTGCGTATCCATTAAGAAAATCAAAAAGTGTGTCAAAATGTTCAATTTATCTAGCACATTGTACGAGGATGTTTACCGCGTTCTGAGCACAATATTTTCGTCGCGTTATACGTGCGTCCATTATAACATAGTGCAGAATTTGTATTTATAATTAGAGCTAAAGTTGAACCAAAACTGCAAATTTAACATGTAGAAATACAATTCTTTTTTTGGCATCTCTTGGCCATAATCTGCACGACGAGAGTAACTCGTCATTATAAAGCAAAGGATCAACGCTTACTGTTTCCGGTTCAGAGAACTTTGGGCGCGTCTTCTGATCTATAGTATTCAAAAAAATGTAGTTCTTTATAGTTTTCTTTGGTTAACAATTCAGAGTTGTTACGCGAGATTCTGCACATTTATTTGTACATATTTGAAGAAAGTGTATATCTCTTCGACGTGTTATGATAAGCGCTTACACTGATTTTTCGAATTCTCGGCAAGCAAAAGTTTTTCGATTCAATATGAGTACGATTACTCTCGTTTAAGAAAAACTATCGAAGTTGGCAATTTGATTAAATAAGGAGGAAAGTGATTGCAAATGTCACCGCTAATAGTAATTCTAATCATAAATCTACGTCTGCCTTATATGTATGTGAAATTTTAGTAAGACTGATTCGTCGGAATCGACGTTTTTTGGTGCACAAGAACAACTCGAAGACAAGAAGCAGAAATTCGATTTACCGAAGTTCTGGGCCAAAAAAAACCCTTAACCAAAATAATCACGCGGCGACACATTGCGCGCAATTCAACGCGCTTGCAGCACATTTTGCAGCAATTTTTACGGAACTTTGCATTTGTCGAAAGTGATATAGGTACTATTGAGCAACTTATACTTTATAACATAATATCTATGTACTACGTTCTTTAATTTCGTGAAGTTTCAACACCTTCGTGTACTACTTGAAGACTTAAATCGCGAAAGTTGAGAAACAATATAGCATACAGCATCCTAGACTTTAAAACCTGAAAAGTACTGACATAGTGCTACACTTTTTATTTAGTAAAGTTTGAATATTTTCGCGCGATTTAGTTTGTCAAAGTTCGAAAATAACAGCGTTAGGCATTTTCGATTTCGAACGTTGGAAAGCAATGATTTTTCTTTCACGTATTTACGTTTGATGGAATTTCAACAGACTTGCAGAAAACTACGTGATTTAGCTCGAATAATTCAGGAATAGCGTAGAACTGTATATATTAAAAAGCGGGAACGTTCTGCGACATTTTTCGGCGCGATAAAATTTAAATATATTCGTAAGAAATATTGCATCGAGCATTTTAGGGTTTCAAGACTGGGGAAACAATCACGTATACACGTTTCAATTCGAAAAATTGAAGCTTAAGAAATATCAGCGTAATACTACGTGTTTCAGTGGGTAAACATTGATAAATGTTGCTTTGCAACTTTATTCACTAAAGTAAAAAAATGAAGAAACATGGAAAATTGCAAACTAACGTTGCATTACGTGCTTTCATTTTAATGAACTGAAATTCATAATGTAACGCAACGCACTTCGATTTATAAACACAGCTAGACGATAAGTACCATGATTTCCACTTTGCTAAAGCTGAAACTAATTAATAAAGTACTACGTATTTCATGTTATCTACGCTAAACATTTGCATAACATCGCATCTTTTGTTTCCTAAAATTTAGAAACCAATAACGTAGTAATACCACTTTCGGTTTACGGGAATTACAAAACACATAATGAGTCAGAAAAGTCAGCTGAAAAATTTTCTCAAGCTTAAAGTGAAATTTCTGCATGCTACAAAGAACATTTCACGCGAGAATATTCCGAATTCCCAACTAATTCTCAAAATATTCGAATTTCGCTTGTACCCGTTAACAGATAAGAATATGTTATGTAAACAAGTTAAGCATGGTACAACAGTTGAATGCAGCGTCTCTATCGACGTTCCCCGATATGTTATTCCTCAATTCATCGTATTTCTTCAAACAAGTTGAATAGATGCGAATAGATAAGATAGGAATAAAAATAATGCACCAATGTTGACAAAATTCACGGCGTTCTAAACTTGGACCGTACGCCAACTGTTATCGCCACGCCATACGCGGCTTGACTATTTGAAATCGAATTGATTTACTATCAGGATCGAATTGCCACTCGACTGTAGAATCACAAACCGCGCTCACCCAATATACAAATGAACCGTCATTTTATTCAAGTGAAAATAAAAAATAATCGTGGACGGTGATCGTTTTCATATCGTAAATGGAAGACGATAAAAATAAATCGAATACGCGAAAACACAATTAGCAGAACCGTTCTAAACAGTTTCCACATACGTGAACTCGACGAAAAATACTTGCTTTCCACGGTAACGGTTTCTCCGAAAATTTTATTAAACCCATTCACGTACCGGTAAAGGTGCATGCAACACAGTTCATAATTGCGAAGCATGAAATTGATATATGCCCAGTTTATAGTCCCGATAAAGTTCACGCAGAAACTGCCGACCGGAGTGTTCCAGCTAACTAGTTTCTAATTGAAATACGAACACGTCGATGACAGAGAAGTCAACGAACAAACTGACCCGAAATGCGTAATCGACGGTAACAATCTTTTCTAAAAGGCGTACCTGGCCGTACCCGCTTACCAGGTACGATAACAAGACAAGTATCTGATTAAATTTATGTAACGGTGTGTTACCACGTTACCGTGGAATTACTTTTGATAACCTACTGTGATAACGTCATTGTATTAAAGTCACTGTCACTCGACGAGATTTTTCTTATGCTCATTATAGGCATTCGTGGACGAACGTGTTGGAACTATCGGTTAAAACGAGATCCGCGTTCGTGGCCAAAACAAACCAGCCGATTGCATACGTCGAGTTTTCCACGAAGGCACGTTCGCGTTGTTCGTAGACTTTTTCCTAACCAAGAAAAAGAGGCCTCAAAATGTAAACAACGTAACGGTCCAATTTCTGTGTTCATTTTCCATAATGTATGCTGAAAATATTCGTGGAAAAAAAGACGGAAAAAGCGTTACAATGTTTGTGGATGATATTACGCGAGGATAGAAGTGAAAAAATTGAGCAATAATCGTAAAGTTGTCCACGCGAACGCGTGTCCCGACGGCGGCAATGCCGAGTCGCGAGAGAACGAGAAAAAACCAGCCGCGCGGTACCGCGCGTTACAAGGCACTCGTCGTCACATCCGCACACACAGCACATCTATACATGTACACACACACACACAGGATCACGTACCACATACACACCGTATGTACACACATAGCAGTCACACAGACAATACACGCTCAGAGTCACGCAGCAACATGCAAGTGTAGATCCGTACGTAAGTACACAGGCGCACGATTAAAAGAGAAACTCACTCCAGAAATAATGCACAGTATCCATCCAAGTCGCAATGGCGAAGGTAGGGTTTGCTTGTCCTGGATTATCAAAACGCGAAAGCTAGAGCGTCGCGTTTAAGTTCCTCGAAAGTTTATCGTCGTGATGGTTGTCGATGTCGTGATCGTCGTTGTTGTCGTCGCCGTCGTCTTACGACGACGACAACACACTTTCGCACGGGCTTCCTGCTGTCTAAATATCCGTTCCCGTATCTCTGCACTGGGCACTCACTGGCCGAGCATCGAAAACGCACCGCGTTTCACGATAAGCACCGTGTACATTCCCCTCGAATATATTTCGCGCCGAGCTTTTCCCGCGTTTAGTTTCGTTGACGCACACGCGGCGAAGGTAACGCAGGCAGAGCGAGACGGAGAGAAACGCACACACATATAACACGCGCGAGCCGCGGAGAAAGAGCGGGGAAACAGACAGAGGGAGAGAGAGAGAGAGAGAAAGAAAGAAACAAAGAGAGAGAGAGAGAGTGAGCAAGAATGACAGGAAAAGAGAAAGACACGTAGACGCACGTTACGTTGGGAGCAATGGAATACGTGCGAACACTTCTCGCTTGGTCCCGCCTAGGGGAAAGAAAATCCGTCGCTGCCACCACTGCTCCACCTCCAGAGGCTCGTAGAAACCGTGATATATGTATATCGCGCGGAGTGCGTGTTCGCGCGCGCACAGTTTTCAAAACAAGACACCGGTGGTACACGCGAGCCGGTTAGCAGTACTGTCTTTACAGCGTTTTCTCCGTTCGTTCGACGCTTTTTCCTATCCTCGGTGAATCGCTCTCTTTTACTCGCGCGGTTTTTCCGCACGCACACGCCGCCGCGGATCAATAATTCACCATACGAATTCACCAGAAGCGGGTGAGCGAGCGGGCTGGCACGCAGGCACTAGGCAGAGGCACACGTTTCTGTCGTGGCGCGCTCTCCTCGGGGAAACGCACGCAGCCCACCACCACCGGCACACACCGACCGATTGCGCTTCGTCCTAACCTCCTCGACAAGTCTCTCCGTGCTGCCTGACCGAGTCGTACACGTTGCCAGAGAGACTGCACACGCTTCGTAACACATGCACAGAACGCTTGCGTCTCTTGACACACAGCTGACACAACGCTCGTAAACACGCGACAATCGGACAAAGACAGATACACCGATGCACCACCAAACCACACGGTAGATGCGATAGCAGGCACAACTCGAGCTCTTCGTTTATCAAACTGATCCGACTATCGTTTCATCTCTCTCTCTCTCTCTCTCTCTCTCTCTCTCTCTCTCTCAGATTCTCCCTCTCCTTCTGATCTTTCTCTCTTCCTCCCATCTATCCTTTCTCTCACACTCTCCCTCCCTCGCCCCCTCTTTCTCTCTCACTCGCTTTCTCTCTCTCACACACTCTCTCTCTCCCTCTCACACTCACTCACTCACTCAAAGTAGTAGTAGGAGCAGAACACCACTAGCAGCAACACGGAGCCAGCAATGCGAACATCACGGTCACCGGAAGTACGAACCTGACAATCACGACACACGAGGAATATGCGAGGAATCGGTAATGTTTTTTACCGATGCAGAGGCACAGTCAACCGGATAACGTCGGCACGCATATACACCGTTCACGCACTCTGTAGCGTCCGTCTTCTCTTTTCCACGTAATATTTGTCTTTATCGCACGGTCGGTTTGTCCGTTCGTCTCTTTCTTTCGCACAGTGTCTATCGCTCCCTCTGTCTCTCACTCCCTTTCGTCCGTCTGTCCGTCTGTCCGTGTTCGACGGTGTGTATATCGCCGCCGTCGCTGCTGTCGAATCCGTTCCGTGCGCGGCCCCTGTGTGGGACGACGCCGCTGGGACACACGGGCGTGGACGAGTAGACGCGCTCTTTCGAGGACGTTTCGACACTATTTTCTTTAATGTACTTACCACTGGGCGAGCTGACGTGGCGTCGCGCGCGCGCGGGGCCTTTACACCACGGGTAAAATTCGCACAGTAATATTAGCGCGCAAGGCTGCACCCCGGTAAATACGAGCGCAGTCACCACTCTTGTTTTTGGTATGCCAGGAATGGCACAAAGAATCTGGACAACGCACACGCCTGCTGCGCAGCCGGTCTGCGCACACGCTGACACCGCTTATGCGGCCGCGGGAGAAACCAGAAGCCGAACGCAGCCGACTATGCCCGAACCTACTCGAACTAGACCGATCCTCTACCCCTACTACGTAGTGCGGGATGGTCGTCTCCCCACTCCCCACGCGGGAGATCAGTCGCGTCACGCACGTAATAGAGGTTGGATGTTGTTGCTCGCTTACTCCTTTATTCTCTCTCGCTCAAGTTTGAGAGGCACTTGTTGAATTTCATGGGTTGCGTTTTAGGTTTTTCGAATGAACCTTTTGATAAATGGCGATACACAAACTAACCGACCGCAAAACTACCACTTTCCTCTTTCCTGTAATTTCATACTAAGTAAATAACAAATAATATCGCCGTGTAACGTTCACATATCTGGCATATTTCTTTTCACTTTTTCTTACGAATTGTGCTATTCTTGCAATTGTAAAATTAAATGACATCTAACACGAAAAATATTTCGTAATATATACTTTAAATTTGTTTGTAAGAATAACGATCGGTTATCAATACGATTATTTCCATTACAATCAATTGAATTTCTGTCAGTTTACAATGCGATGACGGTTCACTTTCACGATGGTCGCGTGACACTCTTAACGTTTCTATACATAAACCAGTTCACGTGCACTTTTTCGGTAGCAGACTGACTGGAGCCATTTGTGTACTTAACGGATCAAAGGGATTAACCAATGGTAGCTGTATATGAGACATAACTGACCCAGTGCAAGTGTACTGGCTTAAGATTGTCAAGTGACGTTCATGCCCCATTCCGTAGAATACGACCTTTCACCCTCCTGCACCCTTCAGACCACTTTTCTTTTATACCTGTGCGGTAATTTTCTTTAGGATTCATTCGACTTCGGGCTCACGCCTTCCTTAACGCTTTTGTCCCAATTTCAAAGCTTTGTGCATAGGATTTTCAATGGCTAACGTGCAAGGTGAAATATAAGCATCTTAAATCATGCTTACTGACATAAACAAACAACAAAGTTTGCCTGTGATTCGACACACCAATTTTACGCTTAAACACCAAATTTCATAAAAATAGTTTACTGCAAGGATAATATACTCACAGTGTATATTTCCATTAATTAATTAATTTAACTTTAATTATTATTAATTTTCAAGCTAAAGTTCTTTATAATTAAGTGTTTAGGTATAATCATGAACCAAGTATAAGTGAATCGTAAGTTTAAAATTCAAATAGATCAGATACAATTATTTAATTTTTAAATCATACAAATTTCAATTCACCGTTGTTTGATGGTATGAATGTATAATCTGAAATTTTTGTACTTAAATTACTACCTATTTCTGTTTAAGAAAGTAAATAGGTTTGCGGTTGTTGATTTATCAAATTAATTTGCTCCCTACTTGTTCGGACAATTGGCTTTCTACTTTATCTACAGAAGTCAATTATACGAAAGTTTATCAAAAAAAAGTAGATGACGGAATCGTTTGAAATATTGTTCGTTTGCTTATATGCAGCAAGTACTTTTAATAATATTTAACCAATTTTTTATATAAAGAACATAAATAAGCTTTTTAATCAGAAAATATCGCAAAGAAAAAATAAACAATAATATTTTTCAAATCGTTAGTACGTACAAGAAGAATCGTATTTTATTCACTATATTTCATGTGCATGAATAACAAATATCCATTGACGAAGTTTAAACAATTACAATACAAAATTTCTTTGAAAAAAGAAAAAATGTAAACGAAGCAGTATTTCTCAAATTATTAATAACCTCAAGTTTGCAAGTATATCTTTTCCCTTAATGCAATTATACAGGGTGTCTCACTTAAACGAAACCACATAAATGATACAAAGAATATTTTAGCTGCGATTTGAATGGTATCAAAGGACGAATACCATCTAAAGATCACGGGCTTTACACAGATTTTCACCTGTGGTTGCTAAACCCTGCAACCTTGATGAAAATAAATTTCACGTTTAACTTTAATTTTCGGAGTCAAAGTTCGCTTTAAGGTTATGTCATCATCTTATTTTAATGTCAACTGCAATGCGTGAGAGAAAAAAAAAATGCATCGGTGAACTTGAAAACTGCCGAAGAAGTAACCTTGAGACAAAAGTAAAAAATATTCTTTGCGTGGTATTGCATCTAAAATATTTTATCGTATCGTCACAATTGTAGGAGATATTTAGATGGTTCCGTTTATGTGAGACACGCTGTGTAGTCTAAAAGAATAATTTATATAATATGTATATTCATAATGGTTATACAACGCGCGTATTCACCTAAATCACGTGTAAAACAAAACACGTGAAAGGATATACCTATCCTAATGAAGTAACGAAGTGATCGTTACGTCGCATGAAAAAAGGAAAATAAAGGATAGGATGTTTTCTAAATCGGTGGTAGATGGAAACAGGTATCGTTCAACGTATATACAGGGTGACACCGAAGTAGGCAGCCGAACTTCGGTACCGTGCTCTACTCTTACTAAGGATGAAAAAAAGTCACTGAAACATAGGTCCGAAAACTCTTCCTTTCCGAGGTATACTAAACACATTTTGTTTACATCGAAATTTGACGTGGACATAGCTGGTAGACGTAGAATTACGAGCAGAGGAGAATCAATTGCGCGACTTTCACGCTCACCTGGCTTCACTCCTTTGGACTTTTGTTTATACGAACATTTTAAAAGTTCAGTGTATGATAATAATACCATTGACAGTCTAGAAACACTGAAAAACCGGATTCTTATCGCTTGTGACAAAATTCGGAAT